GCCCTCCAGTCTGGGCGACAGAGTGAGACTCCAACTCAAAAAAAAAGAAAAAAAAAGAAATGGCACCTGACTGAGAGCGCATGACTCGCTTTGAAGAAAATCACCTGGTCCGTGATGGGCCTGGGGTTGCATGGCGCACGGAGGGCTGCAGGCTTTGGACGTGTCCGTGCTGACCCTGGGCTCCCAAATTTCCAGCACTTGTGGGGTTGGGTGTGTCTGTGGAAGGCTTACCTCCTGGTGACGTCTGTGTCTCAGACTCTCGGGGTCAGGTGTCAGCAGGCCAGCCTAGGCCGGTAGACACATAACGCCCAGGTCCTGTGGCTCCCCTGATGGAGCGAGTGGATTTCAGGCACGGCTGGCGCCAGGACACGGCTGTTCTCCCTCTTACTCCCAACTGCCTCTCACTGACGGGCCTGGCTGTCGGCGGGCTCCGGCCACATGATGGTCTTCAGGGCCCCAGGCTCTTGGCATCCCCAGCTGCAGTCCCGGCCAGAGCACCTTGTCTTGAGGCCACTTCTCAGAGATACAGGTGGTCACGTGCTCATCCTGGCCCCGGGGACGCAGAACTGTGATTGACCAGAGCGGGTCATAGGACCGTCCCCGGGCCTGGGAAGTCGGGTCTGTGCTAGTGGAGCAGGGGTGGGGTGGGCCTTGTTCTGACCCAGGCCTTCCTCCCAGCCAGGTGGCCACTGCTTGGAGAGGGACGGTTGCCTGTTCAGGGCGGGAAGGGGTGTCAGGTGGCACTGGGGGCATAGGGTGTATCCGCGTCCCCTCCTCGCCTCTGACCACGTGTGATGCCGCCCAGCTTCGCCTCCGATGGCGGGTCCTGGCGCTGGCACTGCGCTGCCCTGGGCTTTCCCCCGCCAGGCCTGTGGGGAGCTGCAGAGGGGTCGCCTGATGGACCCCTCTTCTGAGGGACTGGGGGAGGGGCCCATCTGTGTCAGGTGGGGAAGGGGCCGCGGCTGGTGAGGAAGGGCCAGTGGCCTGTGAGCCTGGAGGCTCCTGGGCGAGGCGGCTTTCCACAGGAAGCTTCCTCACTGCTCCGTCTCCAGCCTCAGTCTCCCCATCCGTAAAGCAGTGGGCCATCTGTCCTGAGCTTTCCCAGCCCGACCGTGGCCATTCTTGTGGCAGCCTCTGTGGATCGGCCTTGGAGGCGGCTGGGGCCTCCAAGGCCCCTTCCCAAGCCTGGGGGCTTCTGGTCACACTTTTCTGAGCTGCGACGTCCCTGTCCTCTCCCGGAGGGTCCCGGGGACGCCCAGTGGGCCTGGCCCTGCCCGGGGCAGGACTCTGGCCCAAGCCGCCACGGCCAGGCTGAGTAGCTGGGGCTTGAGAGGACATTGCAGGGGACGTGGAAGTACCAGGGCCGTGGCGAGCGTGGGTGGGATGTGCAGATTTGGTCCCCTGCCTGCGGGGTCACCTCAAGACCAGGAAGGCCAGCCTCGGAGCTGGAAGGCTGTCCTCTGCGTGACTGGGGTGGAGGCCGCTGGCTGGCTCTGGCGCTGGCTCGGGGCCGCCGCCTACCCGTGCTGTCCGTGGCTTGGAGCGCCACGGCTTCGAGGGTGGCCACAGAGGGAGGCGGCTTTGGGAGACCCTGTGTGCGCTCAGCCCCGGCTCACCTTGTTGCTTTTGGTTTCTTGCAGGTAGCCTGAGACGCCAGTCATGAGCCAGTGACTGGGACGGGCGTTTAAGCCTCGGCGGCTGTTAACAGAGCTCTCGGGCCCGGGACCTCCGCCATGTCGGGATCCACGCAGCCCGTGGCGCAGACGTGGAGGGCCACGGAGCCCCGCTACCCGCCCCATGGCATCTCATATCCGGTGCAGATCGCCCGGCCCCACGCGGTAAGTGGGGGAGGAGCCCAGCCACCCTGAGCCTCCTGCGAGTCTCCGCCCCTTCCTTCTTGCTGGGCGCTGGGCTGACTGGGCTGGCGTGGCTCGAGCCACGGCAGGGAGGGGGCTGCCCTTCCCAAGCCCGGGGGCTTCTGGTCACACTTTTCTGAACTGTGAAGGTGGAAGCTGGGCCAGGCTGAGCTGGGGCTCTGCCTCTCTTAATGGACAGTGGACTTGGCGTGCATACATGGTGTGCTTGCTGTATGCATTTCCTTGCAGCCTGG